GGGACTCGGCCTCAGGATGAACGGAGAAGTGGTGCCTCGATGCGCACCCGGGATCCGAACCCGGGCCACCAGCATCGCAGTGCGTGCACTTAACCACCAAGCCACAGGGCCGGCCCAGTACATGTTCTTTTAATTAGAAAACACATGATATAAAACTACTGATAATATTTGGTATATAAGCTTCCAGGGTTTTATAAATTTATATACTAATATAAATTCATTAAAAAATATACATATACGCTTTAAAATAATATTTGTATCATAGTATATATTCTATTTTATAACCTCTTTTTCACATAATAGATCATCATTCCCCTTAAACATGAAATCCAACTCACGTTATTTCATGTTTAAAATATTTCTCAAAGCTGAAATATCGTCAAGTTTTATAATATTAAAGATAATTATTTCATTCCAATCCATTTTTTTAAGACAAAACCTAATTTTATAATTGTTCCAAAACCTTGCAAAATAAGCCTGACTATTTTTGGTTTTCATTTAAAATTAGCATTAAATGTTATTAGCCACAATGAAAGAGAACAATGGATTTTAATTAAGTCTTTCCCTCTTAAAATAATGTCTTACAAAGTAGTTTCCAAAGTATCATTTAAAAACATTAAGAAGTATTACTAAGAAAAATTAGTGCCTTTGCTACACATAGCATTTTGAGACATCTCTTACCATACAATAATCTCAGATTACTTAGAAAGAAATATAGTACTGATATTGTGCCAAGGGAAATTATCTGAGGAAGCTGGTACATTCTGCTACCAAACAACTGTGTTACAGGGAAAAGAACACTGAAGTCATAACACCCATCTTAGCTGTGTACCTTTGGAAAATCATTTAACCTCTTATAAGATAAATTTCTTCTTCAGTAAGATAGAGTTACCACAGCTTCCAAAGAGTTGTTTAGAAGATCATACAGTCATGCATCACTTAATGACAGTGATATGTTCTGAGAAATGCATCATTAGCTGATTTTCTCATTGCATGCACATCACACAGTGTGCTGACACAAACCTAGATGATTTAGCCCACAACATACCTAGGGTATATGGTACTAATCTTACGGGACCACCACTGTATATGCAGTTCATCACTGACCAAAATGTCATTATGCAGCACATGACTGTAGCTACTTATAACTTAAAGTTTTTTAAATCAACATGGCTTTGTAATAAAATCAAATTTATTTATTTGATCCTTCAGTGGATCAAATTATTTTAAACGAAAAAGTTTTGGTTATTAAATCAAAAGATGTATTCCATCACATCTCTTGGAATCTTGCCCAATTCTTAAAAAAAAAAAAAAACCCATAAAGATACTACTGTATTATATATATACCATATTATAGATCAGAGGTTGGTAAACTACAACGCATGGACCAAATGCAGCTGGCAGCCTGTTTTTGTAAATCAGGATTCATTGGAACACAGCCACACTCATTAAATTATGTATTATCTATAACTGCTTTTGCACTACAACACCAGAGGTGACTAATTGTGACAGAAACCATATGGCCCACAAAGCCTAAAATATTTACTATTGGCCCTTTACAGAAGAATTTTGCTGACCCCTTCTATAAATTACTATAAATTGAATTGGACAATGTATCCAAAAGGGATTGGGGGGAAAAAAATCAAACTTTAAAATATACACCTAAATTTAATGCCCTAAAATGCCACTCCAAAAGTCCTAAAAATCTAAGCTTCAAATGCAATTGGAACTAGAATATGAAAATTTTGGTTACATAAAATATAAAAACAATACTGGAGTATATTAATAGCTTATTTAGAATAACAAAGTATATTTTTGTGCCTCTTGAAATTAAGTAAAGCCAATTATTATTTCTATTATAAATAGTACTTATATCTACTTTATACAAATTATGTTTTTACCTGCTAATGGCTTGCTCCTCATCAGTTATTCCAGTCTCCCTGAATGCCCTGTTTGATTCCGCCAAACTCAAGGCAATTGCTCTCTGAAGATCATCTTTATCATCTCCAGTGAGATCAATCACATCTGAAAAGCAAAACTAACTTTCTCAAAATTAAAAGTCAAACAAAATGAAAGGTAATCTTATTATGGAGATTTTATACCCAATATACCCTTTCAAACCAAAGCCAGCACCAACTTAATTCTGCATAACAGCCTCTCTGAAGAGAATGCAAACACATTTTAAATTGAATATACTTTGAAACTTAATGTTCTTCTCTATAAAATATACCCAAAAGCAATAAGGGCATAAATATTTTTCATTGCAGAGGAACCTCAATATTTACTATGAAGTCTCTGATTAAAAGATAATAAGCAGAAAGACTGCTAAAAAGTTGCTTCACCAACAAAATTTGAAATCAACATAATTAAACATTTACATTTACGCTTTCTGAGGTTAACCCAAATACACACACATTACAGCTCATCATACTACCACCTAGATGTTATCAAAGTATAATAATTAACAACTGAGCTCTCAAAAATTGTTTTAGAAACTAATTGACCATAGAGATAGATAGATAGATGTTTACATATACATTTTTTAAAGCCCGGAAGAATGTGCCAAATTGTTAACAGTGGTTAAGTTTGATGAAGAGGGTTATGGGAGGAGGAAGTGTAAGGATGTTTCATTTTTCTACTTTAAATACTTCTATACCATCTGAATTATTTAATAAACATGCAGTCCTTTTAAGCTAAAAAAAGGTTTTCATTTCGCAAAAAGAAACACACAAATAAATGAAACTATTCTCTTTTCTTCATGAAAGAAAATAGTTTACCCTAAAAGTATTCTTTTTCCAAAGAATAAAGGCTACAAGTATTACCACTTTCAGAAAAACACTTTTTAATCCAATTTTCCAATATATATTGGTCAATTTACTTAACCCAGAAGACAACAATAATACTCCCATTACCATTTAAACAATGCTAAGAACTATAATATGCTGCTAAGTAGGGGATTACAAGACAATATGATGAGAAATAGAAAGAAGTATAGCTGTTATTACCTTATCTTTGTGTGGCTGGGATTATGCTTATTGGTATTTTGGACAAGTTTTGTATTCATTTTGTTTATTTGTATTTGAGACATGTCAAAAATTAATTTTTTTCGTTGTAATCCTATAAGTTTACAAGCGGGAAACAAACAAAAAGGAGTAGGGGATGGGAGATAAAATGCTTGCATTTTACCATCTAGCTGTAGGGTTATACAGATGCTAGAAAAGAATATTCCACACTCAACAAGAAAGAAATAACATATATTGAAGTCTGCTTCTATTGTTATCTACACTTTTTCTCCAAACGGTAGCTTACAAGAATATTAAAAATATTAGAAATAATAGTTGGCCATGGAAGATATTTTTTAATGACCTCAGAAAGTATAATAAAACCTCACAAAATGTAGTAAGTAGGGTCCAAAAAAATTCAATCAAGTAAAATGTAGAACACATAACAAGGTAATTGAAATGATGGAGTATGCCTAAACATATTAGCAGGCCACAGGTTTCCTAAGTCCAGCTTACAAGACCCACATACACCCAGACCACAGCTGATGATGGGTGTCACCTGAGAGTAACCACCCAGTCCAACTTAAATACTGATGAAGCAGAAGCTAGGACTAGATAGGTAGGAAACGGCCTCATAAAAATGAGAACTATCTTGGTCATTAAATAATGACTCACTCTTAGGTGAGTAAAGAGAGAATAATAGAAATAAAGGAAATAAGATGAAAATCACAAAAAAAAAAAAGGTTTTGGGGATATGATCACTTAGCGCTCAGACTCCATTCTCTCATCCTCCAAGTACTCTTTCTTCAACTACAGAAGCTGGAAAGATCAAAACATACAAACAAATCTATTTTCCCGATTCACTGCAGTTAAGGTTCTGGATAAAATTTAGATTCCACCAACTGGATGCACTAACATGAGTTTTGGAAGGCAGAAGTGAGGGGGAAGCCCTTTCCTACTGCTTTTGGCTGTTTTCTCCAGCATGACTGAACAGATTGGGTTGTTCCACAGTGGCTTTTCAGTGTCCAATTTTCAGCTTCAGGAATGTCAAGAGATAGAGTAGAAGTGGCAACTAGACTCTGCATTCCAATGTCCAGGCACAGCTCAGCAGCAGTTACCTAATCCTGGCTGCTTGTTCCCTGGGCTGCAGCTAGAGTATGTTCTTAAACTCAGGGGTCCCAGAGGCAGCCTCCTGATTCACTCATTGCCTTCCTGATTGTGGCAGAGGGAGAGCTTCCCTGGCTGGCCAGTCCCATGAGAATCTGGGAGTCATTTCTGAAAGCCGAGCTAGAGATCCTTCCTCCAGTCCTTCCGGTGATTTTTTAAGAACCTAATCCTCCCCTGTATTAAATTTCTTCTTTGAAACTATCTGGAGTGTTTACTGTTTCATCACTGACAAGTAAACCAAACTGGCTAAAGCAGAAACTCATTTAGAAATAGCAACAACTTAAACTTAGAGCTTCTCCATAATTTATCAATTGCAACTCAAGCAACATAAAAGCAAAAAACAAGGCAAGATGTTTTTAACTCTATCTCATACAAGAAATAGAAAACTGAAGTTGTGAGAAATGAAGTATATCATTGTAAGAATAAAGAATGGTGGACAGGGCCGGCCCCGTGGCTTAACGGTTAAGTGCGTGCGCTCGGCTGCCGGCGGCCCGGGGTTCGGATCCCGGGTGTTAACCGACGCACCGCTCCTCCGGCCATGCTGAGGCCGCGTCCCACATACAGCAACTAGAAGGATGTGCAGCTATGACAGACAACTATCTACTGGCGCTTTGGGGGAAAAATAAATAAATAAAATCTTTAAAAAAAAAAAAAAGAATGGTGGACAGACTTCAAATTTAAGTCTTCTATTAAATCCAGTGGGATTTCCTTCAGACTAGCAGTTCTCCAAGTGTAGTCCATGGATCTTTAGGGATCCCCTATAGCCGTATGAGGGAAAGGGGTTCCTTAAGTAAAAAATATTCTCATAACACTAAGGTGTCATCTGCCTTTTCTACTGTGGTCACATTTGCACTGATGATGCAAAACAACAATGCATAAAACTGGTGCACCTAGCACACAAACCAAGGCAGTAGCACCAAGTTGTGTGAGCAATTCATTGTATTACACACAACTATGCATACTCACTATTCAAAAAAAAAAAAAGCCAGTCTCCCTTAAGTCCTTGACAAAAAGGGAAAAATCAGTTTTCTTAAATCTCAAACACTGACAAATTTTCTTTTAATTCTATGTGACAAATAGGAAGTATGCATAGTACTTCTGCTGTATATCCAAAGCACACTGTTGCTAAAGAAAAAACACAAGTGCAATGCTTGAGCTGCAAGCTGAAGTAGCTGATATTTTTCATGGTACACTATTTTTACTTGAAAGATCAACTGACAAACCACAAGCTATGATTATTCAGACTTGAGTAACTGACAGATGTTTTCTCGAAAATAAACAAAGCAAATCTGTTACTTGAAGGAGAATGAATGACAGTATTTGTCGTCAATGATTAATAGAGAATTTTCAAGCAAAAATCAGAACTTTGGAAAACTTGTTTCCACCACTATGAGTGTTTCCACCACTATGGATATCTTCCCAAAACTTAAAAGGATTTCTGGTGAAATCAGGTGATATTAACAATTTCAATTTCTTTTATAATGTAGATATTCTTCCAACATTTGAAGGGAAATCTCTTCCAAATTACCAATGCACAGTATTATAAAATCATGCATGGGTAAACAACCCATTCAAAGAGCAAGGTAAGCGATAAAGACACTAGAAGCATCTTTTGTTCTAATATTTGGTCTTTGACCCTGGATCCTGACACAGAGCTTCTAAATCACCTGGCATTTCCTGGGTGATAAGAGCATCCTTTGTTCTAATGAAGTGATTCTTGGTGGGCTCCTGTATAGCTTCAGGATGGGCACTGATCACAAGAAAGACCAAGCCATGATTAGAAGCTTAGAACTTTGAGCCCCATGTCCCATCCTCTGGGGAGCAGACAGGGGCTAGAAATTAAGTTAATAATAGATCATGCCCACCTGATGAAGCCTCCATAAAAATTCCTAAAGTACAGGGCTCAGAGAGCTTCTGGGTTAGTGAATATATGCACATGCTGGGAGGGTGGCATACCCCAAATCCATGAGACAGAAGCTCCTGCACTCAGGACCCTTCCAGACCTTGCCCTAAGTACCTCAACACCTGGATATCCATCTGTATCCATTATCAGATCCTGTATTACATAATAAACAGGTAAATGTGTTTCCCTGAGTTCTGTGAGCCCTTATAGCAAATTATCAAACTTGAGGAGGGTGTCATGGGAACCCCCAATATGTAGCCAAATCAGACAGAAGTATGGGTAACCTGGGAACCCACTACTTCTAACTGGCATCTAAAGTGGGGGCAGTCTTGTGTGACTGCCCTTAACCTGTGGGATCTGATGCTACCTCCAGGTAGTGTCAGAATTGAACTGAATTGTAGGACACCCAGCTGGTGTCAGAGAATTGGTCAGGTGTGGGAAAAAGTCACACATCTGGTGTCAGAAGTATTGAGTGTGGGCAGAGGAAGAAACAAGCAATGGTAGCCTTTAATGCTAGAAAGGTTGGTTGGCCAGAGACTACTGTCCTCAACTGAAAAGCTGGGACTTTTTCCTTTAAGCAATGGAGAAAGTTTATTTATTATATGTAGTTTCACTGTAATTACCATAATTTTCTCCATGATGTTCCCATTATTCCATAAAGCCTCTTCTTCCCATAAGATATTTTAGAACAATATGGCAATCCTGAAAGAAGACTATTATAACCTACTCACATACCAAATACATATGACTTTAAGATCAGATATTAATAAAGTAAAATGCTATTTCAATACAATGGTTAAATCTGAATTTCTTCTTTTTTTGGAGTTAGTGGAGTGATTTCCATAAAACATGTAATGAACTACCAATTTCACAATGAAAACTAGCCCTCTATGATTTTCTTATACACTCACACTCAAAAAGGAACAGAGAATAAACTTGGCGTAAACAATTTCTAATTGGCAAAACTAAATAAAAGTTTAGCCTGTGTAACAAAGTATTATGAATATTTTTATATCTGTGCCATGGGAGGACCTTGGTAAAACACTCAAACTTTGTTTTAACCAACCCTCCCTCTAGTATTAGTGTGAACACAATTCAAGGGCACAGGCATGTTAGTGTTAGTTGAATACCACTGTAGAAAATCACACATTACAAAAGCCTATGAACAGTAATCTCCAACATTTTCAAGACTGCTCAAATTAAAACATTTTTCTGTAAGGTCGGAAATATATATACCAAAACATAACACTCACCCTAAAAATTCTTGTACATCCCAAAGAATTACCATTTCAGCAAAACTTAAATACCAACTACCAAACATTTTTCTGCTAACTCCAAAATATAGGCAGTCATCAGCTTGTCAATGAATTAGACTTCAAATGTATGCATTGTTTTAACTCATACTTCAATTTCCCATAAAAACAGTACATTAAATGACAAAAGGCTTCCAAGTTAGTTAAAAAAAAAACCTACTTAGCCCATAATATAGTTGAACCACAATATATGTAAAGATTTTGATTTTAGAAGGAAAAAAAGCTCTTCCATTGTTTTCCTTATCTACATAAGGCTAAGCATACGTGAAATACTTTATTTTATAAGCCACGTTTATATTTACCACCAGCAAAGATTTCTGGGCAGGAGAATGATGTGAGCAGAAAGAACTCTGTTCTGGGACTTAGGAGTTAAGAGTCTTGAACAAGAGTTTGAGAAGAGTTGTAGTAAGAATATATAGCAGGACAGGAGCAACTGAAGGAAAAGTATGCATACAAAAATTGATAGAACTGCAAACTAAATGGTTGTCTTGGGTGATTAGGAAGAGCAGTAAAAAAAAATTTTTTTTTTTAAATAAAAAAATAAAATCACTGGGCCACCGGAAGTTGCAATGCCCTTAAGAGAGAAAGGCAAATAGGAACATAGGGATGGTCAGCAGGAGATCAGAAATGAGAATACTACCATTCTCCCTCTCACTATTCATCTCCTGAGCCAAATATACTCCTGCCTGGAGGCCCTAACCTGGGATGCACTTCCCTCAGACATCCACGAGCTTCGCTCCCTCACTTCACTCAGGTATCTGTATAACTGTGACCTCATCCAAGAGACATTCCTTGACTGACCCTTTATCTCAAATAGCATATCCCAAGCCTGACCTACAACCACATCCCCGTCACCTCTGTCCCTTTACCCTGCTTTATTGTTCTTCATGAACTTACGACTATCTGACATTATTTATTTATTGCTTACTGTCTGTCTCCCCCCTTTGTAAACTGACACTCTTTGTGTTTTTGTGTTTTTTTTAATGGTGTAAAAGTACCTAATACATATTAGGCAATCAATAAATATTTGTTAAGCAAATAAAGGTTAATATCTAGCCTATGGAATAGAGATAAAAATTAATGAGTCATCTTCATAGTGGCACTAACTAGAAGACTTAAGAACATATGCTTTATCCATCTAAAATTTTTTCTAGTAAGTCAAAGGACAAATAGAATAAGGTATCATGTTAAAAGAATACTTAAAAGCAAGAAGACACAAGCAATGTAAATTATGCTCTCCCATACTCCTCTGCCCTCAGTCAGCTATCTTAAAGATGTTTCTACTTTTCCAATCTTCTTACTGCTGAACTCAGATTCTCTAAAACAGTGATGTCCAATAGAACTTTCTGTGATGATGGAAATGTACTATTATCTGCACTGTCCAATATGGTAGGCACTAGATACATATGACTACTATTTAAAATGTATCTAGTGCAACAGAAGAACTAAATTTTAACATTAATTTTAATTTATATTTAAATTTAGGTTGCCACACGTGACTGTCGGCAACTATATTGAGATGGTCTTGTTCTGTTTTTAATAACAGCTGCTAAACTTATAAAGGCAGCACTGGTAAGGAAGGAAGGTGGATAGTAAAGGAGCCATTCGTGAGTTTTGTCATCAATTTTACTATGTTTTCAAACTTGGATTGTGGAAAAAAAATAAAGTTAACATTCTATATTAATCAACAAAAAGTGCAAACACCCATGGCTATCATTCTGCCCTAAAATTAAATAAAATTCATAAAGTTATGCAAGTCATTCTATAGCAAATGTGTTAACACAATATAAGCCTAATTGCATGCAACCAGTTACAAGTAACTTTCACACCATCGTAGAATTTCATTTTTAAGCTTAAGCTTAACTTTTGGTGAATCATCAAAACAATTTTATGCATTAGAAATCTCTATGGAAAAAGAGATTTAACTTTCATGGCATTAATTTTTTTCTCTCTGAAGTTCCTTGTTTAATAAATTTGGGGAATGGAAAAACTATCAGTGTTCAAATAATAAAATCCTAAACTGCCTAACGTAAGTGATTTGCCCTCAGCAGATACAAGAGCACTAGACTTGGATCTATCACTTGTCCTTTAAATCATTTTTAGGCTGGCCAAGCAACATAACCAAGACCAGAGTTCTAGGACAGAACTTCAACATTTTTCCCACTTTCTATGCAGTCCTTACCAAATAAATACACTGATTCTAAATTCGTGAAGGATCGACCACTTAACACTCATTCCAATGTGTTATAGCAATTTCTCTAAAACTTAAGCCAATATGTGACATTATTTTCTGTGTTAAAATTACCTACCCAAATCCCTCTTATCTTTTGATCCATACTTTGATTGCTCAATTGTAGTACATCTCGTTCTGGTGGGCATATACTGTTTTTTTCCTGTTTTAAAAAAGTTCAAAAGAATTTAATGGTCATGAAAGAAAGAATATTACTATTGAATTTCAAATGGACAAAAGCCTTGTAAGGTCATGTCTATGACAGAGTTTGCCACGACACAAAAACTTCACAGAATCTCTCCTATGACTATTAGTAGTACACCTATAATATCTTCATATCTTGCATCGTTTCCTCCTTTGCATTAGTATTTTTTACTGAAAAATTCCAACACAATTTTATTTTCAATTTAAGCTGGAGGTGGGAGGTACTCATTTGACAATTTACAATATCCAATGTGGACATGAAATCCAAGTAATGAAAATAAGTGCCTAAAATTTTTGTTAATAATACTATAAATGATTTCAGCCTTTTCCCAGAATTCAATAGTTATTAAATTACAGTATAGAATGTTACCAAAGCAATATAAAAACTCCAGGTACAATACTTAATTCCTTATTACACAGAATATAAGCTTTCCTTGAAATGTTTCTTTTTTCTCTCAAAAATGAAAGGTAAAAATACACTATAAAGGCCAATCATTGTCCTACTAACTAGTGAAAATGTAATTACTCCTTCAATATTAAATGAAGGTTCACAAATATGTCTTCTTCAAATCGAGTGACATAATTTACTTTATCTTCTGATGTACCCAGCTATGGATACATGAACATTTCCCCACAAGCCCCAAATGTGACTTCTATGGGATATTAGTTTAAAAGCTGAATTTTTCTACTCATTAAAAAAACATGTATTTTATTCCTTCTAAAAGAGACCCCCAGGGGCCGGCCCCATGGCGTAGCAGTTAAGTGCATGCGCTCCACTGCTGGGGCCTGGGTTCGATCCCAGGCGCACACCGACACATCGCTTGTCAGGCCATGCTGTGGCGGCGTCCCATACGAAGTGGAGGAAGATGGGCACAGATGTTAGCCCAGGGCCAGCCTTCCTCAGCAAAAAGAGGAGGATTGGCATGTATGTTAGCTCAGGGCTGATCTTCCTCACAAAAGAAAATTTTAAAAAAATAAAATAAAATAAAAGAGACCCCCAGTTATAAACAGTTATATTGCAGCTTATACAAGTAATCATACGTATTTAGCATTAGAGACTTTTATTTCAAAATACAGATGTTTTGTCAGTACGACAACCAATAGATGACACACAAAGTTAGCAAGGCTCTGTTTACACTTTAGTCCTGTTTGCAACAGACTTTATACTTAAAAAAGAAAACAAGGAATTAAAGAAATAAAACCCTGCCATATTCGAAAGAATTAAGTTAAATTATGGTCAACTTTCTGATAACAATAAATTTCACTCAAAGTTGAGAAAATGCTCGAAGGGGTTTTTATATCTAGAACAATCCCTTGAAAACTTCCTCACACTCTGATCACTCCAATACTCCGCATTCCTTCAGCACTCACATAGTTTTTTCAAGAGAGGCCTGCGTTTGAACATATATTCATTTGTAATTATTTTCTATCTTTCCTTCCCACGTTTTACTACTTCTTCCAAGAATTAAAAATACACGCAAGATTTCATTTCTTCTCAGCAATAACAGCATAGTAATTTAAAGAATCTGCTAAATGCATGACATCTCCTTACTTTCTTAGTTTTAAACCATGAAACACTATTACGACACTACAAAATTTAAATGCTGAATCAAGACTATCTCCTAAAGGCAGCTGTACTTCTTAGAACTTTACAAAATATGGTGTAGATCTGCTAAATGGAAAAGAATTATTGTTACTCATTGGCTATTTTTTCCCAGTTTTATACTAACACTATTATAATACAACCACCACATTATATTTCTACAAGTTTTTTCTCAATAATCTCAAACCAACTTTATGGACACACTATCCAAATTATTGAATTACTAAATACGAATTAGCATCCTGGTTAGAAGGATAGCACATTTTATTGATAAAGAAACCACAACAGCAAGCAGTTTGCTCAATATGACAGTGAATCAATTGAGATAAAACCAGAAACTCCATTTCTCTACCATTACTTTCAAGTAGAATATAAAATTACTTAGTGGATATTTTTCAAAAGCTACATATGCAAAAAAAGTTTTTCAAATTATCAGCAAATGAGACATATACCTTCTGAAATCAGGTTGCCTTCTCCCTAAGAGCACCTATTCAAATCTCTCTTTTTGTCCAGAACATTTTCACTATTCCTTGTCAAAATCGTGAACAGGTGTGAACATCTGGCTTAAACAATATTTTCTGACTTTAACACAGCAAATAAGATACCTTCTTTTGTTTACGACAATCTTCTTATCCTGATTCTCCCCTGTATACCTATATCTGCTTTCTCATGTCACAAAGTCTACCATCTATATTAAGAGTTCACAGCTATCGTTCTTAAAATCTTTTCATCCTTTCAACTAGAACACTGAACAATGTGTAGTCAATTTCCTGTTTCCTTCACTTTAACCAGTTGCCTTCAGTCAAAATCATTCTTTTCTTCCTTTTTCTACCTAATTTCATTTTCCCCCCAAGTCTCAGAACCGTGAAAGATATGAGCTGTTGTTCTTACATATTAATTCCTCCTCTATTTATACCACTGCTCTCTTTTCCAACTTCTTGTCTTGCAACAAGTTTCTCAATCTTGTCCCTTTCATTAGTTTTGAAACAGCTTTTTTACACATATTATCAAAAATAACTCAACAAACAATCTTTGAGAAAGTATGACATTCTAGTATGATGGTGGGAACATCAATGGTCTCTTGCCCTGTTACGTTTCCTGTTTGGTAAGCAAGAAAGGACTCAAGTAAATAATTTCAAAATAACACAGTACTCATTAAGACAGAAGTATGCTCTGGGTGCTAGAGAAGCACTTGGTCCAACTTAGAGGTCAGGGGAAACATTCTAGAGCCAGTAGTTCCCGAGCTAAGTCTTACAACACCAGAAGAAATTAGACTGGGGGTAAAGGCTAAAGGGGATGCCAGACAGAAAGAATAGCAAGTATAAAGACAAAAAAAATTAAATAGCACTAGGTGGACAAGAAATTCAAGCCATTCTGTATTATCACAGTGTAAAGTGAGAGTAGGAAAACAGCAGAAAATGAAGTTAGAGATGTAGACAAGGGCCAAGCCACAGTTTGTCTTCAACTTGGACATAAGCAATTGGGTCTGTCTTACATACATAAAACTTCTCCCATCACCTATTATCTGTGTGAGATAGGAACAGTCCAGCTTTGGCTGACATAAGATCATTCGTAGAGCAAATATATTAAGATTACTCTGAAAATTTGAAATTAAAATATTTTATCAACAAACAGTATTCAATGCCAATTAATAGCTATAAACATCTATGTCAATGGGTTCTTCCTGGTTGTTTCCTAACTTTGAAAAAGTCTATAAACAACATCAGAAATTCTCTTCAAACACAAGTTACTAGTCAAACTTCCCAAATCCAGAATGCACAAAAATACCTATATCTTATATAGTGCAATTATTACACCATAATGAGACATGGAGGGAAGTGAACGTATTTTGAAAAACTCAGTGCTATATAAGCACAAAGTATTCATACCATGAAGAAAAATTAGTCTCATAAAATTTTCCGTATGTATGCATGCGTACACGTGTGTATGCGTACGTGTGTTTATTTTGTTACATGGTAATAAGCCTTTTTCCAAAATCTTTCTGTTGGGGAGGGGCAGGGATTGAAGGAAGGGAAATTCTACTACATGGTAAAGCTATTAGTAATTAGAAATAATACTTTACCTTCAAAAATAATACTAAGCCTCTATCAACATTTAAAATCCATAAAACAAATGATTTGCCCATTTAAAATTCTAGACATTTTTGTTTGTTTAATGAGTAACACCTGTAGCTGTTTCATATTTCAAAACAATGAATACTATATGAAATGATCTATGAAAGGATATATAACTTAAATACAATCTTTTATTCCTAAACTGGAAAAGAATATAATGCAGCTAAATAAAACATATGCTCCTTTCAACTACACTAAGAAGAACCAAATTTAAAGTAGTTTTTTTTTGGTCCTTCACCTCTGTTTCAACAAAATTAATATATCCCCAAGGAAAATTTTTTATTACATTCTTATCAAAATATTAACAAAGAGAAGTAGACTTACTTGTATCTGCTTGGCTTCCCACACTAATGTATCTATCGTTGCCAGGAAGTGCTGTTTGGTAGTAAGCTGTCTCCTCCTGCTGAGGGGTCTTGGCATTCTTCGCAGTAAGGAAAGCCACTGCTAATTCCAAGTTTCCATTACTATCCTTCAAATATCAAGAACAGAACATCAAATACTTTGGAACAACTCTATGCATTCTCATATGATTTATATAATTTTTTCCATAACAACTAATGCTTAGTAGGAAAAATCATTTTCAGATTTGAAATCATTCTGTGTGATTCTAATCTTATAGTATAAATTCATCATAAACAAAGAATACTATATCAATAGTAATTTCTTTATTAATTAAAAATACTAATATAATGTAAAAATCAATTCTATAACTAATTTCTTAGTTTTCTACTACTTTCATATCTGCTTAACAAAAGTCAATCACAAACTTACACTTCTAAACAAACGAATAAACTAAAAAATGTTTTCTGGAACTTGTCATATAAAAGGATGAAAAATGAGTATTTAAAACAGTTCTTCTGCAAAGAGGAACAATAAAAGATATTCCCTTTAAGGGCCAACCTGATGGCACAGCGGTTAAGCGCGCACGCTCTGCTTCGGCGGCCCGGGGTTCCCAGGTTCGGATCCCAGGGGCACACCGACACACCGCTTGTCAAGCCATGCTGTGGTGGTGTCCCATATAAAGCAGAGGAAGATGGGCACCGATGTTAGCCCAGGGCCAATCTTCCTCAGTAAAAAGAGGAGGATTGGCAATGGATGTTAGCTCAGGGTTGATCTTCCTCACACACACACATAAAAAAAGATATTCCCTTTAATATGGATGCTGAATACATACCTAGAAGCAAACTGTCAAATGTCAAAGCAATGTCAAAGACATGTAGGAAGAAAACAGCAAAATGTTCTGAAGCTTGACAGTACGGAGAGACACACAGAACTCCTAGACAGAAATACTCAATATTGTCAAGATGACAATCCTACCCAAATTAAATAGAAATTTTATGTAGTTCTCATCAAAAGCATACCTAGACAAAATTATTCTAAAGTTAATTTAGAAGAAAGTAGATGCTAAAAAACTAAGAATTTTTGAAACCACAAAATAAGAGACATCCCCAGTTATATCTCTATATTCTCTGTACAGTTAACAATAAATATAACACTAGCTCTATGACAGCTAATTAAAACAACATTAGGAAATCCAGATATTAATAATGAAGCTATCTTTGTGACAGAAGGCCAGAACACGTTAAGACTGTGTAGGACTTAAGAACTTCAGCATACAAGCAGAGTGCAACGAGAAGCCAGTGGAGGGTTTTGGACAAAAATGATACGGTATGACTTACATTTTAAAAGGATCATTCTGGCTGTGTGTTGAGAACACACTATAGGCAGAAACGGCAGAAGCACAGAGTCTAACATTATTTGCTATCATATTAAATGTAGGTGGTGACAGAAGGGGACAGATCAGGATGATCCCAAGATTTGAGGCCTGAGCAACTAGAAGAATGAAGTCCCCGACTCACCCCAACTCCAATTCTAGTAGCCGGGGAGAACAGAGAAAAAGTAAGAGTACAGTTTGAAAAGCACCACTGCTTTAAACTTTGTTATCTGTCACAACAATTATAAGATTCTCAAATGACTCATCCAAACTACGGGTATAACATATTCTGTAGTTAGATAAGTAAACTATAGTAAAATAATTTGCAATAACAATGGCTAACATTTATTGAGCACTACTATGTGCCAAGAAATGCGTTAAGTGCTTTTCAAAGACTACCTTATATAACAAGAATAAACTGTTTACAACAGGGATTTCCACAATTTGAAGGTGACTTACTTTGGGGAGCTAAAAATAGATGCTCAAAATAAATAAAAGTGCTTAAATAAATCAATGACATTGTGGCTCCCAAAAGTAGACTCCTTGTCAGTATTTTACTGAGACACTCAACTCATTAATAAACCTCTTACAAATTTATACTGGGCAACAGTTAAAGTATAAGTACAGTGTTTTCACTCCTAGCTACTGATAACTAAAATGAAAGTTAAAAAAACTACAGTCACACAACTTACCTCAAAGGAAATGTAGACAAGAATTAATTTAATTCCTTATGTTTATTTAATCAAACATATTCTATACATTTCCCAAGTTAAAAAAAAAGAAAAGTGAATTCTCCAAATTTGCCCTGACAACATACTGGGTGTAGCGTCACACTCACTGATACAGAATGGAAAAAGCACTTTCTGAAAAGAGACATGATTTAGTCCCATTTATCAGAATAAAGAAAAGACTAGCAATCATCTAAATGTCATAATCATAAAAACCGAGGTATGACACTTTTACTTCCTCTCCAAATACTTATGGCGGCTTCAGAAACCCTGCATTAATGCTCTAAACAGTACTGTTCATCATTGTCCTGATGGGGCAAATATGAAGCAAAGCCTCTAGTAAAAGCAGAAATTAAGTGTGGTGCTCTCGGATCAGACTGCTTGGTTTCTATTCCAAGCTCCTCCACATACTAGCTGTGTGATCTTGATCAAGTCACTTTAACCTCTGCTTCCTTATCTTTTAAAAAGGGATGAAAATAGTACTTCACGGAGTTATTAGGAGAATGAGTTAGCTACATAAAGTACTTAGAATAGCACCTAGTACTGTAAGTGCTTAATAAGTGCTTAATAAGCATCACTATCATTATGATGATTATGATTACAATCATCTAAAAGATAAATTACTGCCAGAAATAAAGAGCTTTTGGCTCAGAATCAAAAATTACATAATTTTGTCTCACGGAGCAAAGGATTGAAGCTGTGTGTATGCCTATAGCGGCAAAGAGGCTATACCGCTGTTAGCTTTTAGTACAAATACACACACACACACACACACACACACACACACACACAAGCTTAAAATGCAGTTCTAGTTCTTGAACATTTTTCATTCACTTGATCTTTTTCCCCATGCATATCCATATGATTTGACTCACCTGGGTGCCTCTGTGTGGAAATGAGAGTACTTCATAAGATACAACCAAAATGATACACTTCATTTGCTGCATATACTAAACAGTTTGACATTTGATGTGCAATGTTCTTAAGGTGCAATTAGCTGAATGTTAGCCAGTTTATATTTCTCCTTCTTAGAAGGGAAAAATGTAAGCTTTTGACCCTCTATTAATTTTCTATTTCTCCCTCCTCCTCTCCCTACCCCACCTCACTCTTCACCCCTATTTAAACTCTAAAATCATGGCTCTTGCGTAAAACCAGCCATTAGCATTTCGATTCACATCCCTCCATTTTGCACAAAAAGTGTTTCACATAGAGAGAGGTTATGTCACTCCAAAGTATCTTGGAACATTAGGATGCTGAATGCTAACATGCTAAAACTGCAGTATATGTTAAATAAGGCTCTTCCTTTATAAAAGTTCTTTCCTATATCTCTACTACGACCACCACACAGTATAATTAAAAAACTCAACTTTCAAATATGGCAGGCAGTAGAGATGAGGGTGTAACACAGCTGTAGTTCATAAAACACAGGTCATACCTTCAAGGCTTGCTGTAGTATCTGGGCGTCATTGATCCCAGTAATTTCTCTCAGCTGATTCAAAAATGTCTGCTGGTGCTAGAAAGAGGGGAAAAACCAAAATCATTACACTCTGAAATCTGAAAATACACAAGGACAAGAACATAAATGACCTTTGGGTAAAAAAACAGAAAACACAAAATGAACTAGAGTAAAAGAGAAAAAAAAATAGAACTTGAGAAAGACTGAACAAATTTCATTATTTTAGGAAGAACAAACCATACTGTAGGGAACCCTTATTCCACTGTCACGTTTCCACAAGGGAACGTCTACGTTACTCCTCAAGAAGAAGTCTTACTGAATTAACACCTTCTGGCCCATTCTTCACCACTTCATTTATGCCTCCCAACAAGAAAAGGAGTGATTAGCATGAGGCTAAGCCTGAGAAGAACTACGGAAAACGGGTATCTATTGGGCCACTTTAATTAGGGGATGGCACCACCAACTGAAATCCAGGCAGCTCTGGTAATCTCTCCCTGTCCCCAGGGTCAGCCAGCATCCAGGCACCCGGGATGTTTGAAAAAGACATGCTTTTGGCAGGTCATGCCCTGGGTGGGTATATTACATCAGTGGAATCCTAAGATCTACTCAAGGAAAAAAAGAACCATCTCATTCTCCAATCTGCCATAAAAGATCCTAAACAGAATTGATCATTTGCCTCCATTTGCTTCAGATCTGTTTATACTCCATTGGTCTATATACTACATAATCTATTATCGTCTGTTGGAGAGAAAAAAAGGTAGAGGTATAGGATTCCACTATCAAACCCTTCCCTGAACTTCCTTAATTAAGAACTATGTTCCTCCCTACATCTCTGTATTTCTTAAAACAAGTGCCCAAAAACTGTAAGATAGCACCATGAAATAATGAAAGCTCAATGGATATGATATGGAAAACAAGTCGTCACTAGAATGAAAGGATCTGCAGAAATCTTTCTTGAAAATGTTTTACATTCATCTCAGTAATAATTCAGTGAAGAATCATCAATGGATACTAAAACTACTGAGTGAAAGCTTAATGAGAAACAGGATAGTTACATAGTTTCAAACTCTTCCTACAAAGTACAAAGGCAGAAAGAGTAATTTTATAATGAAGAAACCTAACAGATACCACCTCAACAAAGTGATCAGAATTAATATTACCAATAATGGGATAAAATTAAGTGTGTGCCTCTTGATACGATATGATACACCAAGAAGACAATATCACCTGTGGTTTTCCTGCCAAAAATGCATAACCTGAATCTAATCTTGAGGAAGCATCAGACAAATCCAAACTGAGGAACATTTTGCAAAATAATTATTCTGTTATCTTCAAAATGTCTATATCATGAAAGACAAAGGACAAGTTTCCAGATTAAAGGGGACCAAAAAGGCATGGCACCTAAATGTACTGTGGGAGACCAGATTACATCTCAAACTAAATGCAATACAGGATATTACTGGGACAACTGAAGAAATACGAATATGGACTTCATAGTAATGATGTCGTATTAATATTAAATTCCTGAATTTAATAAGTGCACTATAGTTATGTAAGAAAATATCTTTTTCTTAGGAAATACACCCTGAAGTATTTCAGGTGGTCAAGGGACATGAGCTCTGCAACTTACTCTCAAATGGGCCAGGAAAAAAGTTATGGAAGTTTTTTGTACTAATCTTGCAAATTTAAATTTGAAATTACTTCAAAATATAAAGTTTTAAAATGTTCTTCATACATATTTATTGATGTCAGAATTGTAAAATGTGCATTTCAAAACACGCTTGACAATTTAAATATGCATAATGTATATACACTCAGAGGTGAAGGGTCCTAAACAAATTACAAAATGAAATGAAAAAATAAATAATTTGCAAGTCAGGTTTGAGATAACCTAGTCTAGATATCTTTTACAGAAACCACATGTATAAGTTAGAAATTATATTCAGCTACACGGAAGAGTCCCATCTAAATAGTAGCTTTAACATACTGCAGTCTTTTTTTCCTAATATACTTAGACTGGAGGTGGGCAGTCCAGAACTGATACGGACATCCCACATGATACTCAAGATCTAAGCTCCCGGGGCCGGCCCCATGGCTTAGCGGTTAAGTGCGCGCGCTCCGCTACCGGTGGCCCGGGTTCGGATCCCGGGCGCGCACCGACGCACCACTTCTCCGGCCATGCTGAGGCCGCGTCCCACACACAGCAACTAGAAGGATGTGCAACTATGACATACAACTACCTACTGGGGCTTTGGGGAAAAAAAAGGAGGAGGATTGGCAATAGATGTTAGCTCAGAGCCAGTCTTCCTCAGCAAAAAAAGAGGAGGATTAGCATGGATGTTAGCTCAGTGCTGACGTTCCTCAGAAAAAAAAAAAAAGATCTAAGCTCCCTCCGTCTTCCCACTAAACATTCTTATATACGACATTCATCAAGTGTCTGTCACTCCATGTCTCCTCCTCCAGCATCCTCTCCAATTTCTAGGTAGGACAAAGGGAAAGGCAAAGGACAAACGGTGTCTGCCAAATGATTCTGCCTTCTTTATCAAGCCCCGTCTAGTGACTTCCACTTAAAGCCTCACTGAACAGAACAAAGTAATGACTTCCACTTAAAGCCTCACTGAACAGAACAAAGTTGCGTGGCCACTCATAATTGCAAAGGCAATTGGGAAATGTATTTTTCAGCCACACACAAAGCTGCTCTGAAAATGAAATCAAGGTTGTTTGTGAGGAAAAAGAAAGAATATATACTGGATAGGCATTGGCAGTATCTGCCATGCCGTCAATGAATTTTTATTTCCATAAAAATCTTATTAAAGAGCTGAGATAACCGAGACTATCTAACAATAAAATATACAATGAAGTACATAAACAAGGCCATATAAAATGCCAAGAATAATCAAAATAGTTGAATAAAAGAATTGAATTGCCAAATTTACAGGGCTGAAATACAAGAAAAATAAAATTCTTTTTAAACTTGTCAACTTTTCTACTTTCTTTTAAAAAGTTACCAATAATTAAGCAATGGAACAATGACTAAGTTACACAATACTCAACATTACAAATTAAAGATGTATAAAAAGCTTACAGGAGTTCTCCTTATCTAATTCAATGCCTTATTTTAGTGAACATAAAATACTTAAGACTGTATAAGCCTGTCTGTAATCTTACCACCACCAGCACTCCAAACTCCATCCTTTACACAGAGTATTATTTTCCTCAACTGCAAATTATTCTATCATGGATCAGGGAAAGACTATTGACTACCCCAAAGAAATTAGTCATTTGTACAAATGTGGCTGGCTATTTATAATGCTGGAAAAATGAAAAAAATGCAAATGTCTTTCCACAAGGAAGAGGTTCTAAACTTTAATGTGCAGAAGAATGACCTGGTGAGTTTGTTAATAATGATGATTCCCAGCCCCCACCCCAGAGATAGTGATTCCAGGAGGGTCTGGGTTAAGGCTAACAGATCTGCATTTTTTTTTTTTTTAAAGATTTTATTTATTCATTTTTTTCCCCCCAAAGCCCCAGTAGGCAGTTGTATGTCATAGGTTCACATCCTTCTAGTTGCTGTACGTGGGACTCGGCCTCGGGTTGGACGGAGAAGTGGTGCCCTGGGGGGTGCCCGGGATCCGAACCCAGGCCGCCAGCATCAGAGCGCGCGCACTTAACCGCCAAGCCACGGAGCCGGCCCCAGATCTGCATTTTTAATAAGCATCTCAAATGATTTTGATACAGATGGACAAATCCAAACAACTGTATATTTTTAAATAGTGAATCTATATAGAAGTTTATCTTTACAAAATCACATTAAGCTAAAGTGGTAGAATACAAAATAATATATATACACATTAATGACTATAAGGTGAAATGTAAACACAAATATAAAACCCAGAAAAGATTATACGGCCTGTGTTAAACTCCCAATTCTTCTCCCATCTCTGGACCCACACTCTTTGCCACTTTTCACTGTCTCCCACTAAAGACACCATACATTTCCTTGTTGCAATGATGTGCTTAGCCATGTGACATGCTTTGACCAATGACATAATAGCAAACAGCATGCAAGCAGAGGTGAAATGTGCTGACACGGTTGGGCTTGCCCTCTTTAACTTCTGCAACTTCCTTAAGAAGAACATGACCTGGGTAGCCCACTTGCCCCAGAAGAATGAAGCACATGTTGCCCCAGAAGAATGAGGCACTTGTGAAGAAGAGCCACCCCAACCAAGCTGCAAATCTGTGAACATGATGATAATCCTTAGTATGCCACTAAGTTTTGGAGTGGTCTGTTACGGTGATAGTTGACTAATACAAAGCGCAACAAGAATATTGAGTATTTTTGTGTGTGTGTGAGAAAGATTAGCCCTGAGCTAACAGCCATTGCTAATCTCCTCTTCTTGCTGAGGAAGACTGGCCCTGGGCTAACATCCATGCCCATCTTCCTCTACTTTATATGTGGGACGCCTGCCACAGCATGGCTTGATAAGAGGCATGTAGGTCCGTGCTCGGGATCCGAACCTGCGAACCCCAGGCCGCCAAAGCGGAACATGCGAACTTAACCACTACGCCACTGGGCCAGGCCCAAGAACATTGAGTATTTTATGAAATAGAGAAGCAATGTCTTTGAAATTGTGTTACCATTTGGTATTTCATTACCTTTCAAAATAAAGTCAGCTAAAACCTAGGAAAAAAAATCCAGATGTATCTGTAGCACAGTTTAGGACCTCACAAGTTTGGACTGAAAACGAAACAATGAAAAGAAAAGGATTAGGGTGGGGAAGAAGGCTGAGTGGGAAAGAAAAAATGTGAAAGAACTTTCTCAGCTAAGTTAGCAAGAAATAGAAGAGATCAAAAGAGGTGATCTATGAGAAAAATTCTAAGTTTATGGCAGAGAAGCCACCTCATTTGTAAAGTTTTCCCCTCTGTTACTGGCATCTTCCAGCTATGCTTTTCCTGTCTTTGAAAACCTGCACCTTCATTTCCTGCAATTATATGTTTTTATTGCTGCTATTTCTGTTGTGATTAACACCCTACTCTTTATTTCAAGGTTTGCACCT